TATACTATAAATCAATTAAGTATGTTATAAATATAATTAATTAAGTAATCATTTAACTATAATGTAATGTTATAATTGATTAAGTAGATATTTAATAGTAATAAATTTATTAATATTTATCAATTTATCATATATAATTAATTAATTATTAATTTATTATAGATATACTTAGAACTTGATAATTGAAGTAAATAACTAAATATATTATTACTCAATCAAATATACTATTTTATTCAAAATAATTCTTTTAATAACATTAAAAATGTAAAACACTTTTAATTGGATCATAATTCCAATTATTTATAATTGATCAAAACTTTAATATTAATGTATTATAATATATAAGCTTTAATATGGTGTAATTTATTGTAATAAGTAAATTTGTATTCGTATATTTATTAATTAAGTTATTCTAAAAATTTAACTTTTCTATTTTAAATTTTTATATGTAAAATAATAGAAACTCCCCCATTATTACATTTCAAAAATATTTCATTTAGTCCAGGTTCCAAAATAGGTTCTAAACAGGTTCTAAAAACAGGTCCAAAACAGGTTCCACACGGTTCAAAATAGGTTCTAAACCGAGTACCCCCTACAGGTTCTAAACAGGGTACCTTTTTACAGGTTCCGGTTCCGGTTCTCCCACATGCAAGAACCGAAACCAGAACCGCACAGTAGCGGTTCCAAAAAATTGGAACCGGAAACTACCGCACAGTGCAGGTTTGGGTAGGTTCCGGTTCTGGTTCCGGTTCCGGTTCTACCCGCTACCCGTGCTCACCCCAATGCTCGACATTTCACATGTAGTTGGATTGTGATCAAGTATATGCATGATCTAAGTAAAGGACATTGGCAAGTTGTGAAGTGGATTTTAGGGTACATTTTAGGTACTGTAGACATTGGTTGGTTTTTTTAGTAGGAAGATGATCACTTTTTATTGGCTATTTTGATTCCAGTTATGCTGAGATCTGGATAAGCGTTAGAAAACTATTGGATACATGTTTACTCTTGCTAGAGCTCAGAGAATTAAGTTGGAAATTCTTTACAATCTATAGTTGCTTTGTCTACTAATGGGATAGAATATATGGCAGTTACATAGGCTGTAAAGGAAGCTATTTGGTTACAGGGACTATTTGAAGAATTGAAGATTTTCACCGAGAAGATCACTAACTATTTTGATAGTTAGAATGCTATTCACTTAGCAAAGAATCTAGTATTCCATGTTTGCACCAAGATATAGATGTTCGTTATCACTTTGTGTCAAAAACCATTAGTGAAAGAAGAATTTGCCTACAAAAAGATTGTGAATATTGAGAATCCAGATATGTTAACAAAAGTGCTGACAATGGTCAAGTTCAATCATTTTTTGAGCTTGATCAACATCCTGCGAGTTTGTGATGTGCCATTTGGCGCATTTGAGGTGTTGTTGAATTTGTCAGAAGAATGCAGAAGAACTTTGATGGTTGCTAATTCATCAAGGTGGAGATTGTTCAAAACTTACTTATTAGCAATCCATAAGGAATAGGAATTTAGCAATCCATAAGGAATAAGAATTTAGTAATCTCACTCCTAGGAAATAAGAAGAGATAATTTGTAATCCACATCAAATGGGAATATAAATGGGATTGGATTTTGGGTCTAATAAAGTAGGCCATTTTATTGTGTTCATCCCAAAAATATTACTCTATACTTCTATTGTAAAGAGTTCTTCCCTATAGTTTAGAGTTTTTCTATATTCCCTTATTTTGAGTATTTGTAGTATTCTTAAAAGTTTGCAATATTCTTCAAGAATAGTGAAGTATTTCTACTGCACCCGAGGATATAGGTAACAATACCGAACCTCATTAATTTCTTTGTATTTTTTATTTTTGGATTATTGGTCATTTATTTATGCTCTAGTAGTGTTATATATATTTCAATAGCTAACGTTAGAGTTGTGCTTTCGTTGCACAAGATATGGCTGAGATAAAGGAGATCAAGTGGATTGAAAACCATGAAAATATTTTATGAGAGGAAGGAGATCCGCAATTTTAAGTACTTAATACCATAGTTAAATATTTTATGATAACAAAAAAAAAAAATTCTGATTCATGATACCACTTGTAATATAGAAATGTGAATAGGACTCTGGCTTTGTGCCAGATGGTGTTACTCTTAATCTGGAAATAGCCTTCGCGTAGTACAAATATGAACACATTTGTTATCTTAACATTTCCGAGAGTTTATATTAAAATATATCTCATGTTACATGTCTTTTTAACGTATTTTCAAATCAGTAGAAAGTATAATAAAGTTAAATTCAAGTGCAATTTTTCTCTCAAAAGTGGTGTGTTATATCATCATTATTATTCTTCCTCTTGTCGTCATAAAAACGCAAGGTGCAACCGTTTTTGAAAAATTATTAGGTTCCAAGCAAGTAAATTAAAACATGGTATTTGAGGTCTCTAAAAAGACATAAACGGACTCTAGACATTCATGTTGTCTCTCTAGGGTGCGTTTAGTTCAGGGAAATTATATTACTATAAGGGCACGTTTGGTTCATTTAAGTTTTAACTACAGGAGGGTATTTATTAATGGAAAGATAGATAACTTTGAAGATTACTAGAATATTTAGAGAAATGTGTTTGGTTGGTTGGAATAATCGGTAAGATATTATGTTAATATGTTTGGTTGGGAGGATAAATAGGTGGGTATGTAATGATTACTAGTTTGCCGTCTTTTTTAAATATTAATATAATATATTATATATTTTTTGAACATTTCTTTTAACCCTTTACATTTGAAATTTTGGCAAAACACACAGCCATATAAAACAATTTGTAGCAAAATCACCCCACCCACCCAAGCCACTGCCAACAACTAGCTACAACCACGGCAGTTATCGTAACGGCACACAACTAGCGAGATCTGGCCAGTCATGTGTCAGTAAGGCTGTTTTCGACCATGAATCTTTTATCCATGGCCAGAAATGCAAACCTGGCCATTTCTATGGCCGTTTCACGGCTACAAATCTAGCCATGAAAAGGTTAGGTCTTTGGCTGTGAAAATGCTAGATCTTTGGGTTTTTAGACAACCATCTTAGGCTGTGAAATAGCCATAAATCTGACTAGAAACGGCCTTACCAGTGCACGGCTGACTAGATCCAACCAAAGTGGGCCATTCCGTCACGGCCGACGGTGGCAATGCACTAGATCCGGCCACCATCCGTGGGTAATTTTTTTAAATTCTAAGGGTATTATGTCCTAAAAAATTTGTATAAGAGTAGAATAGTCCATGACATATTTCTAAATTACTTTCAAAATAAGGGTATTTTTGTCCAAAAGTAATATTGTAACAAAATTAAGATATTAGAATCTAAAATACCTAAGAATGGAGATATCAAGGATCTTAAAATACTTAAGAATATGGAGGTAACCAGATTACCTCCTATTTTCCCAACAATAATTCTATTGATTTTGAAAGATTACCAGAATCTTATATATTTGACAACAAACAAGGTAATCAAGTAATATAAGATGAAATTACTCAATAATCTCATATACCCTCAACTAAACACCTCTGAGTTGTAGACATAATCAACAAATACAATTAAACCTTGATAAATTAATATCCTTGGGACCATGAAAATTATTAATTAATTGATATATTATTTAATCGTATAAATAAAAAACTATTAATTTATCAAGGCGTTCTTTTTTCTTTTTCCAAAATATTGAAGTTAATACATGTATATGTGTCATAGTTAACATGATATAGGGAATAGCATTGAAAATAATATCATGAGCCTAACTTATAGTAAGAGGAATGTAGTATAGAGTAACTTTTAATTTAGTACGAAAAATAATCCCATCCGATGCAGTGACCCTTTATGTAAAAATGTAATATTTTATTCCACCGGTTTAAATTTGTTTGCAGTAGATTGAACTGGGCAGTCAAAAGTGGTAAATAAATCAAAATCTGAATTATATGCACATTGTAAGACTACACGTGACCCTCTTTGGATTATAGTACACATTGAAAACTTTATCAATAAGAGATATGTACAAGTTTTTGTTTCATAAAAACAGAGTTGTTGGATGGTTATGTGTTTATCTTGTTGATAGTTATAAAAACAATTATTATCATTATCATAATAATACTTTATCATATTCATAATCCATTTATTTTAGTATATCAATCACAAAGATACAAATGCAATACATATTAAATGTTAAATGGATCATTAACCTAACGACGTGGCTAGTGTCAAAGAAGTACAACACCCAAAGAGTAACCCTAATTTTGGTGAGCTTGTCCATGAATATTATCCAAAAGATTTCTTTTCCTATAATAAAAACTAGCATTTACCCTAAAATCCAAGTACGAGAGATACTAAGCACTCGAGCATCGGTCGAAAAACCTACCTATTAGCCAGAGACTCAATCCATATTTAGACAGTATCACCCACCCTCAAAGGTTTGAGTAACCCAATTCTAGCCCAAACTCCCAAAAAATTGACGTCAACAAAGCAGTAAGGCCACAATCTAATTGAAATCCACCATAGATTACCTCAATTATTTAATAGCTTTTATTATTAAAATGTAATTGAATCAAATTATTAAAATGTAATGGCATCTATGATCTATATACATGGTCAAAATCATTATACCACGCTTCAACTGTCTTAAAAAGGGCAAATTAATCAATGTTCATCACATTGTTGATAGATTAATATTTAACTATGAATAAGAAAATTTATAATTTGGCAAAAATACAATAACATATGACCTTCCTTTGTTTTTCACATAGCAGTATCATGTTACCAAAACCCCACAAAAACTTCATTCTTTAATAGCTTTTATGTCTCATTATTTTTTGACTTGTTATGTTGTGACACTCGAAATGCATAATATGGGAATAAACCAGTTTTACAAAAGAATTAGCTTATTTGAATGTTTGAGAAACTATTTTATATGCCTACAACGATTCTGTTATGACACCCGCATTTTGGCCTCAATCCTTGATAAACCAAGTAACCAACAATTGATTTGTCAACGTGAGAATTAAAAGAAATGCTTCTAGAGTTGCTAGAGATAGCCTTTAGTAATGAGACCTCAATTAACAGTAAATTCAAGAAAGTTTTGGTCTACACCCTTTAAAATCAAAACAAGAAAAGTAGCATACTTTTGATGCGTTGCCAGGTGAGGCAGTACATAGGCTAAACAGCTCAGGTACCGGTATTCCTGCGGCCAACACGAGCAACAAAACCGGCTTTGATTGGAGCAACTGATCGTCCTGACCCACACTGCAAGAATGAAACCAAAAGACTAACCCGCATTATGGATAATAGTTTAAAAGAACTTTGGCGACCGAAAGATACAATATTGTGAGTAGGACGCTGTTAACACGCATGCTGTATTCGAGATTAATGCCAAGTAAAAAGATTGACAAAATGCATCCAATTCTAGTTCAACCAAAAAATAACGAGGAAAAAGTACATAAAAATAAATAAATAAACCTACACAATTTTCACTGTAAATAAACAAAACGGGGAAAATCACAAAGGCCTCAGGAATACTTTTTATCAGTCACTGGTAAGACAATCTGACAATGTAGGCAATTCTTACATCATAGGCCACCTATTGAAGGTTAAACAGTAACACAATTATAGTCTTTAACACCAAGAAAACAAAAAAAGAACATGAAGAATAATGAAATTTATCGACATCATTTTCCTATGCAATTTCCCATGTAATTAACCAAAAACCCAAAAACTATGATGAAAGGCCTCAGGACTACTTCATTTATCAGTCCCTTATTTGACAATCAGACAATGTAGGCAAATTCTTACATCATAGGCCACCCTCTTGAAGATTTGATAGTAACATAATTCTAGTCTAACACCAAGAAAACCAAAAAGAGAACATAAAGAAGAAAGAATTTTATCAACAATATATTCCTACGCAATTTCCCCTGTAATTAACCGAATAGAGAAAAACTCTTATAAAGGCCTCAGGACTACGTCATTTATCAGTCACTTATTAGACAATCTGACAATGTAAGCAATTCTTACATCATAGGCCACAAAAAAGAAGATTTGTGATAGGAACCCATTCCAATAACTCAACAATTTGGGTTGGGCCATGGGTCTTTCATGGGCTTGGGTAAAACTCTTCTTAGAAAACCGGCTTGCCAAAGGAGGGTGCCCAAGCCTTTATAACCCACATGTCCACCCTTTTCCCTTTCAATGTGGAATTCTAACATTCCACCACGCTTCCGCAACTGACGTCTACGTCGGCCTCTTTACACCCGTCGGCCTCTTTACCCCTTGGGTGACTACGCAATTCCCCTTTCCCTCGGGCCTCCATGCCCTTTCTCGGGATAGCAGCCCGGGCCCAAGGTCAACCTGCCACGGGTCAGCCTGCCACGAGTCAACCTGCCACATAGGCGCAGGATCATACTCTGATACCAATTGATAGAAACCCATTCCAATAACTCAACAATTTGAGCTGGGCCATGGGCCTTTCATGGGCTTAGGTAGAACTCTCCTTGGAAAACCGGCTTGCCAAGGGAGGATGCCCAAGCCTTTATAACCCACATGTCCACCCTTTTCCCTTTCAATGTGGGATCCTAACAATTTGTCAATAACATAATCCTAGTTTAAACATCAATAAATCAAAATTTAAGATAAAATAACCCAACAATCTGAAGAAGAGAGAACATTAACTTTTTCTACTATAAGATTCCAACTGTAATTAGACAAAAAGAGAAATCCACACAAAAGCCTCAGGAATAATTTCCTTTGTCAGTCATGGGTAAGACATCTGACAATGTAGGCAATTTTTACATCATAGAAGACTTGGCAGTAACATAATATAAATTAAATTATAAGGAATCTTAAAATACCTAAGAATATGGAGATTATCAAGGAATCTTAAAATACCTAAGAATATGGAGGTAACCAGATTACCTATATTTCCCAACATAATTACTATTGGTTTTGAAAGATTACGAATCTTATTATTGACAACCAAACAAGGTAATCAAAGTAATATAGATGAAAATTACCTCAATAATCTCTTATACCCTAACTAAACACACTCTGAGTTGTAGGCATACTCAACAAAACAATTAAACCTTGATAAAATAATCCTTGGGACCATGAAAATTATTAATTAATTGATATATTATTTAATCGTATAAATTAAAAAACTATTAATTTATCAAGGCGTTCTTTATTTTCTTTTTCCAAAATATTGAATTAACATGTATATGTTGTGTATAGTTAATGTGTATAGGGAAAGCTATTGAAAAAAAAATCATGAGCCTAATATAGTAAGAGTTAATGTAGTATAGAGTAACTTTAATTTAGTACGAAAAAATAATCCCATCCGATGCAGTGCACCTTTATGTAAAAATGTAATATTTTTATTCCACGGTTTAAATTTTGTTTGCAGTAGATTGGACTGGGCAGTCAAAAGTGGTAAATATATCAAAATCTAATTAATATGCACATTGTAAGACTACACGTGACCTCTTTGGATTATATGTACACATTGAAAACTTTTCAATAGAGATATGTAACAAGTTTTGTTTCATAAAAACAGAGTTGGATGGATGGTTTATGTGTTATAAAAACAATATTATCATTAATAATAATACTTTTACATATTCATAATCATTTCATTTTATGAGTATATCAATCACAAAGATACAAATGCAATACATATTAAATGTTAAATAGGATCATTAACTAAAGACGTGTCTAGTGTCAAAGAAGATACAACACCCAAAGAGTAACCCTAATTTTGTGAGCTTGCTCCAATATTCATCCAAAAGATTTTCTTTCCTATAAAAAACTAGCATTTATCCCTAAAATCCAAGTACGAGAGATACTAAGCTAACTCGAGCATCGGTCGAAAAACCACCTATTAGCTAGAGTACTCAATCCATAGTCAGACAGTGGGACTCTGGCTTTGTGCCAGATGGTGTTTACTCTTAATCTGGAAATAGCCTTCGCGTAGTACAAATGTTGAACACATTTGTTATCTTAACATTTCCGAGAGTTTATATTATATAATTATATCTCATATGTTACATGTCTTTTTAACGTTATTTTTCAAATCAGTAGAAAGTATAATAAAGTTAAATTCAAGTGCAATTTTTTCTCTTCAAAAGTCGTGTTTTATATATCATCATTATTATTCTTCCTCTTGTCGTCAATAAAACGCAAGGTGCAAAACTCGTTTTTGAAAAATTATTAGGTTCCAAGCAAGTAAATTAAAACATGGTATTTGTAGGTCTCTAAATAAGACATAAACGGACTCTAGACATTCAATGTTTTGTCTCTCTTAGGGTGCGTTTATTTCAGGGAATATTATATTACTATAAGGGCACGTTTGGTTCATTTAATGTTTTTACTACAGGAGGGTATTATATTAATGGAAAGATAGATAACTTTGAAGATTACTAGAAATATTTAGAGAAATGTGTTTGGTTGGTTGGAATAAATCGTTAAATATTTTATATTAATATGTTTGGTTGGGAGGATAAATTGGTGGGTATGTTAATAGATTACTAGTTTGCCGTCTTTTTTAAATATTAATATAATATTTATTATTATTATTTTTTGAATCATTTCTTTTAACCCTTTACATTTGAAATTTTGGTCAAACACCCACAGCCATATAAAACTTTAATTTGTAGCAAAATCACCCCCACCCACCCCAAACCACTGCCAACAGCTAGCTACAACCACCGGCAGTCTTCGTAACGGCACACAACTAGCGAGATCTGGCCAGTCATGTGTCAGTAAGGCTGTTTTCGACCATGAATCTTTTATCCATGGCCAGAAATGCCAAACCTGGCCATTTCTATGGCCGTTTCACGGCTACAAATCTAGCCATGAAAAGGTTAGGTCTTTGGCTGTGAAAATGCTAGATCTTTGGCCGTTTTATGACCACATCTTAGGCTGTGAAATAGCCATAAATCTGACTAGAAACGGCCTTACCAGTGCACGGCTGACTAGATCCAACCAAATGTGGGCCATTCCGTCACCGGCCGACGGCTGGCACTGCAGCTAGATCCGGCCACCATCCGTGGGTAATTTTTTTAAATTCTAAGGGTATTTATGTCCTAAAAAATTTGTATATAAGAGTAGAATAGTCCATGACTATATTTCTAAATTACTTTCAAAATAAGGGTATTTTTGTCTAAAAAGTACAGTGTACAAATTTAAAACTATCAAGGAAATCTTAAAATACCTAAGAATATGGAGATTATCAAGGAATCTTAAAATACTAAGAATATGGAGGTAACCAGATTACCTCAATTTTCCCAACAATAATTACTATGGTTTTGAAAGAAAGATACTAGAATCTTAATTATTGACAACCAAACAAAGGTAATCAAGTAATATAAGATAAAATTACCTCAATAATCTCATATTACCCTCAACTAAAACACACTCTCGAGTTGTAGGCATACTCAACAAATACAATTAAACCTTGATAAATTAATATCCTTGGGACCATGAAAATTATTAATTAATGATATATTATTTAATCGTATAAATTAAAAAACTATTAATTTATCAAGGCGTTCTTTATTTTCTTTTCCAAAATATGAATTAATACATGTATATGTTGGTATAGTTAATGATATAGGGAATAGATATGAAAATAAATCATGAGCCTAACTTATAGTAAGAGTTAATGTAGTATAGAGTAACTTTTAATTTAGTACGAAAAAATAATCCCATCCGATGCAGTGCACCTTTATGTAAAAATGTAATATTTTATTCCACCGGTTTAAATTTTTTGCAGTAGATTGGACTGGGCAGTCAAAAGTGGTAAATATATCAAAATCTAATTAATTGACATTGTAGAGACTACACGTGACCCTCTTTGGATTATAGTAACACATTGAAAACTTTGCAATAAGAGATATGTAACAAGGTTTTGTTTCATAAAAACAGAGTTTGATGGTGGTTATTGTGGTTATAAAAACAATTATTATCATTATCATAATAATACTTTATCATATTATAATCATTTCATTTTATGAGTATATCAATCACAAAGATACAAATGCAATACATATTAAATGTTAAATGGATCATTAACACTAAAGACGTGTCTAGTGTCAAAGAAGATACAACACCCAAAGAGTAACCTAATTTGTGTGAGCTTGCTCCTAATATTCATCCAAAAGATTTCTTTTCCTATAAAAAAAACTAGCATTATCCCTAAAATCCAAGTACGAGAGATACTAAGCTAACTCGAGCACGCGTCGAAAAACCTACCTATTAGCAGAGTCTCAATCCATAGTTTAGACAGTATCACCCACCCCAAGGTTTGAGTAACCAATTCTAGCCCAAACTCCCAAAAAATGACGTCAACAAAGCAGTAAGGCCACAATCTAATTGAAATCCACCATAGATTACCTCAATTATTTAATAGCTTTTATTATTAAATGTAATTGAATCAAATTATTAAATGTAATGGCATCTATGATCTATAACATGGTCAAAATCATTATACCACGCTTCAACTGTCTTAAAAAGGGCAATTAATCAATGTCATACATTGTTGTGACAGATTAATATTAACTATGAATAAGAAATTTATAATTTGGCACAAAAATACAATAACATATGACCTTCTTGTTGTTTTCACATAGCAGTATCATGTACCAAAACCCCACAAAAACTTCATTCTTTAATAGCTTTTATGTCTCATTATTTTTGACTTGTTATGTTTGACACTCGAAATGCAAAATATGGGAATAAACCAGTTTTACCAAAAGAATTAGCTTATTTGAATGTTTGAGAAACTATTTTATATGCCTACAACGATTCTGTTATGACACCGCATTTTGGCCGCAATCCTTGATAAACCAAGTAACCAACAATTGATTTGTCAACGTGAGAATTAAAAGAAATGCTTCTAGAGTTGCTAGAGATAGCCTTTAGTAATGAGACCTCAATTAACAGTAAATTCAAGAAAGGTTTGGTCTACACCTTTAAAATCAAAAACAGAAAAAACATAAGTAGCATACTTTGATGCGTTGCCGGTGAGGCAGAGTACATAGGCTAAACAGCTCAGGTACCGGATTCCTGCGGCCAACACGAGCAACAAAAACGGCTTGATTGGAGCAAAATGATCGTCCTGACCCACATGCAAGAATGAAACCAAAAAAGACTAACCCGCACATTGGATAATAGTTTAAAAGAACTTTGGGCGACCGAAAGATACAATATTGTGAGTAGGACGCTGTTAAACGAGCTGTATTCGAGATTAATGCCAAGTAAAAAAGATTGACAAAATGCATCCAATTCTAGTCAACCAAAAAATAACAGAGGAAAAATAAAAGTACAAAAATAAATAAATAAACCTACAAATTTTCACTGTAAATAAACAAAACGGGGAAAATCACAAAGGCCTCAGGAATACTTTTATCAGCACTGGTAAGACAATTGACAATGTAGGCAATCTTATCATCATAGGCCACACTATTGAAGGTTAAACTGTAACACAATTTAGTCTTTAAACACCAAGAAAACAAAAAAAAGAACATGAAGAATAATGAAATTTATCGACATCATTTTCCTATGCAATTTCCCATGTAATTAACCAAAACCCAAAAAACTATGATAAAAGGCTCAGGACTACTTCATTTACAGTCCCTTATTGACAATCAGACAATGTAGGCAAATTCTTACATCATAGGCCACCCTATGAAGATTGATAGTAACATAATTCTAGTCTAACACCAAGAAAACCAAACAAAGAACATAGAAGAAAGAAAGAATTTTATCAACAAACATATCCTACGCAATTAAGACTAGAGAAAAATAATCTATAAAGGCCTCAGGACTACTCCATTTATCAGTCACATATTCCACAATCTGACAATGTAGGCAAATTCTTACATCATAGGCCACCTCTGAAGATTTGATAGTAACATAATTCTAGTCTAACACCAAGAAAACCAAAAAGAGAACATAAGAAGAAGAAGAAAGAATTTTATCAAAATAATTCCTACGCAATTTCCCCTGTAATTAACCGAATAGAGAAAAACTCTATAAAGGCCTCAGGACTACGTCATTTATCAGTCACTTAATAAGACAATCTGACAATGTAAGCAATTCTTACATCATAGGCCACAAAAAAGAAGATTTGTGATAGGAACCCATTCCAATAACTCAACAATTTGGGTTGGGCATGGGTCTTTCATGGGCTTGGGTAAAACTTCTTGAAAAACCGGCTTGCCAAGGAGGGTGCCCAGCCTTTATAACCCACATGTCCACCCTTTCCTTTCAATGTGGGGATCTAACATTCCACCACGCTTCGCAACTAACGTCTACGTCGGCCTCTTTACCCCTGGGGTGACTACGCAGATTCCCCTTTCCCTCGGGCCTCCATGCCCTTTTCGGGATAGCAACCCGGGCCAAGGTCAACCTGCCACGGTCAGTGCCACTGGTACCTAGCACATAGGCGCAGGATAATCTGATACCAATTGATAGAACCATTCCAATAAATCAACATTTGAGCTGGGCCATGGCTTTCATGGGCTTGGTAGAACTCTCCTTGGAAAACGGCTTGCCAAGGGAGGAGTCCCAAGCCTTTATAACCCACATGTCCCCCTTTCCCTTTCAAGTGGGATCCTACAATTGTCAATAACATAATCCTAGTTTAAACATCACATAAATCAAAATTTAAGATAAAATAACCAACAATCGAGAAGAGAGAACATTAACTTTTTTACTATAAGATTCCAACTGTAATTAGACAAAAAGAGAAATCCACACAAAAGCCTCAGGAATAATTTCCTTTGTCAGTCATGGGTAAGACATGACAATGTAGGCAATTTTACATCATAGAAGACTTGGCAGAGTAACATATATTGTAACCACCAATAAAAAAAAAAAAAAAAAAAAAACAAAAAAAAAAAAAAAAAAAAAAAAAAAAAAAAAAAAAAAAAAAAAAAAAAAAAAAAAAAAAAAAAAAAAGCTTATTTTGCAAAAGTGTGTAGGAACGTCTTGGTTGGTTCACATATTGCAACTAAATAATTTGGCTTAAATTTTTGACACCATTTACTTACCACTTATCTAATCTACCTGATAACTTCTTTCTCTCAACCAATGGACAGGAATATATAAATGTTCATCAAATGGTGTTGAAATTTTAAATCAAATAATAAAATTCAGATATCCTAAACCTTTACGTTACCCCAAACAATATCAATTCTGAAATTAAAATAGCAATTTTGTAAGGAGGAATCAGTAACTACATCTCTCTGTCATTGATAAAACAATCTGACAATGTAGGCAATTTTCAAATCATCATAGCATAGCCTCCTTAGAAAAAATATTTATGAGAAAATATGAAATTAGAAAACAAACAATAGGACAATATGCCATATAGACATCATTATTCTTTTGGTAATATCATATGAGTTAATTTTTCAATACATAAATAGTCTTCGAGTAGCCCTCTAATAAATATTTTATCTCAATCATTGACAAACATATGACAATGTAGGCAAAGTCTTAAAATCATCATAGCCACCCTGGTGTTAAGATTAGGTGAATATATCATTCAGAAAAGTCAGATAAAAATGACAGTGAAAACAGTAACATTGGTAAAATATATGTTATTTAAATTTTTATAGCCTATGACCGTTTCTAATATAATATACCACATGAAGATAAAATAAACATTTAAAGCGACAAGAAATAGCCATATCAAGACCAAATTACTAGTTACACATCATCGAGATGGAAAAAAATGAGCAGAAACACCAAAAATTAAAAATATGAGGACACGGATTTCTTACCTTCTCACATCTGAGGAAGAAGAGACGATTCTCCTTTGAAAGTATTGTGTCAGGACTTTTGCACCCAAGGCAAATAACATATTCATCTGAAAATGTTGAGAAGATATCAATGTTTAAGAATAACTACGAGAAACACTTCCCAGTTGCAATTTCATATTTGAGGGAAAAAAAATTATGTACAAGATACTTACTGACATAACGACGAAGTATTCCTTCAAAATTCTTGGGAGCAAATCTCCCTTTCACAACCAATCTTTGTTGTCCATCAAGTGATCCACTTGTACCCAGTTCAGCAAGCAAGAATGCCATGACATGGTCTGGCTGCCGATGCATGCTATATTTTTCCCAACCAAAGACAAAAGCAAAAGATACTTAGTAGGAAATTTTGTAGCTTATTATATAAGGTTAAAAAAAAAAAAAAGGAAGCAAATTCCACAACAATAAGATCAATAAGCATCAGCATGTTAAAAGAAAATAAAGCAAACGACTGCTGGAAAAGTAGAGGTACATACGTCTTGCAGAGATCCATGAAATTCACAAAAACAGTTTTCTTTGTTCCCTCACGAAGAACTTGAGGAGGTCTCATAACAGTTCTACGCCTATCTCCTGCAAGTTCGGGATTATGCTCTCGGAGAATGTTAAAGACCCTACCAAGAAGCTACAGATACACAAGGACAAAAAAACACCAGCAAGAAAAATGTCAGCACCTTAGTAGAAGAGAATAAACGATTTGTACAATAATCAACAATGTCTCTGCAAGAAGAGGATGTAAAAATGCATATTCAATGATGCCATTTGTTTGGTGAATTTTTTAATTTCTTATACACAAATTTAGCATACACACACGCACGTGCACTTTAAGCCACAAGGATAATTCCAATAGATACTATTAGGTTGAGTGTAACATAGGTATAACACATAACATTAAGCTTCATTGTTTACCATTAGATACAACATCTATCAAAAAGCTTCCAAATTGATTGTAACTTGAAAATTAAACCACGAAAAACACAAGGCTACAAAACAAAGCCCTGACCGAGCAATATGAAAATAGACTTAAATTACAAAATATACCTCCTCATATTCATAATCGCGATCACTTCCTTCCCAAGGATAACGTTGTTGAGGTACAGCTCCATCTCCTTCTTCCTCCTCCCCTACATGATCTAAATGGGCAACAAAATAAAATTTCTTAGATTCCATAATAAAGTATTCAAAGTAAAATAAAATATGCATTTATTAAATTCAGATTATTACCATCAAAATCTTCTCCTGCATCCCCACTCTCCTCATTCAATATATTGGTTTCGACCTACAATTTTTCACAAAACATTACATGTCAATTATTGAATAAAATATGTAATATTTAAGCAAAAGAATACACCATCTACTTCAAGGGCCTTCTAACTTACTGGTTTCTTCTTCTTCTTTTTCAAACCAGCAAAAGTACTTTCAATACCTTCGGAGACTGTAAGAAACGAAAAAAAAATTAAGTCTCCAATAAAGAAGTAATTCATGTACCACGTCCTATTCAAGAAAAATTAATAAATTCCAAATCATTTATCTAGAAAAGTTGTTCTCCCAACTCAACAAGTACCTGACAGTGCCTCGGTTTTCTCAGCCAAATTGTCCACAGAATCATCAGCAGAATCCTGTATTGAAATCTTCTTCTTCTTCTTCTTTTTAGTAGGATCGAAAGGGGCAAGCTACAAAGAAGAAATTCATTAAATTATATAACACATCATTTAATCCACCAATCATTATCTACTCTTTTTGGCACTAATACAATAAGCCCATAAAACAGCTCAAGTCAATCAACTCTTGTAAAATAGTCTCAAAAACTAAATAATCAGATCCAAAAAATTCACGAAATTCAAGAACCACAAGCCATAAACACTATACAACTTCACTCCATGAGATAAAATTAAAAACCCTAAAAAGATTAAGCTCTATACCCAAACTTAACAACTTCCTTGACAAATCTTTCAACATGCAAGTGCCAAACTGAAATAAAGCACCCAAAGAGGGGAAAAAAAAAAAAAACTTACTTCTGCCACCTCGTCCTTAATATCATTCTGACTTTCGTCCGCCATTATCACTGCAAAACCTGAAATTTCAACTAAATAAATAAAACCCACAAAACCCTAAAATCGTTAAAGTAGAGAACTTTATCATCAAAAGACTCGGAAAAAAAAATTAATTCAAGATCAAATAATTACAGATAAATCCCACGAGCCTAAAACCTAAATATTCCCCTCTCTCAAAAAAAATTAGAAGATACTAAGAGAAACCCTAAAGTAGCAAAACGGAACTCAAAAAAACAAAAACAAAATCAAAATCAAAAGATGAAAAATCTTACAATTAGAATCAGAGAGTTGCGCGTTGAGTGACTTTGGTTTTGGTGCTTCCGACGATAACGATAAAGAAAAAAGTTCGGCTACTCTGTTGTCTGAGTTGAGTTGGTTGAACTTCGGCTTCCTGAACCTCTCGCGTTTTATGGACGCTTAAATGGGCCTTACTTTGGGGATCGGCTGTGTGATTGGGCCTGGTTTGAATATTTTTTACTAAAGTAACACTATCCGAAAATAGTTGGGTCCCTTTAGTTCACTATTTTTACCCTATCCTATCCAAATATATATTTGTTTTGACATTCAAAATTATCTTCAAAATACAATATTATTCTATTCAACTCAAAATATTTAGATTATTTTTAACCTCTTAGATTTCTTAATTTAACTAAACACCCCCAATAATAAAAGTTTATAAATTATCAAAAACACCCCTACCCACCTACATTTGTCAGATTCTGACCACCATCACCGGAAGGTAGCCAGAATCTACAGTAATGGCATACTACCGGCTAGATATGACCAATAATGCGTCGATTTGACCTATTCCGACTAGATGTCATTAACGGCTAGATCTTTTGGCCGTTGATGACAACCATATATTGGCCGTCAACGACGGCCATATCTGGCCAGATCTGACCATAAATCTGGTCTTTCCGGCCAAATCCATAGTGAATCTGGTCAGAAAATGTCATATTAACGCACTACCAACCATATCCAGCTGGTAGTGCACCATTACTACAAATTCCGACCACCTTCCGATAGTAGTGGCCAGAATATGGCAAATGTGGGTGGATGGAGGTATTTTTGTTAATTTATAAAATTTTATTGTGGGGGTGTTTAGTTAAATTAACAAACCTAGGGGTTAAAAAATCTAAATATTTTTAGAAAATGTTATTAAAAATGTACAAAAAAACTTCTCACAATATGATACATTTAAAAGTCCTAAAACACTTGTAAACATAAGTGGACAAGGAATTAAAAGTCCTAAAACACTTGCTAATTTGGTTAAATTGAAGAAATTCACTCCAAGTCTTAAAACACTTGGTTTGTGGAATGTGGAAAGCAATGGAGGTTATTCGGCCCAAGCAAGTTCCAAGGAGAAAGAGAGAGAGCCCAAACATTTCGGCCTAAGCCACTCCAAGTCCACCAAGAAAGAAGTCCAAGTATTGAAAAAGCTCAATTCGGCCTAAGTTGCATTCCAAAGGGGAAGATCCACATGATCCCTTATTGGATCCATTTACATGATTCTCAAGGCCCAAATTCTTACACCCTTATTAGTAGACTTAATTAGGACCATTGATTAGCTTTTGATCTAATGGAACCAAACTTAGACAAATAATGGGGTGGTTAAAGACATAGACCCTAGAATTAGGGAATTGTGTCTCTTTTTGCATTAAATAGGCATGGCCTTATTTTTCAATGAATGGCTTGTAATATTTAGCTAATTTTATTTCATTTTCTTGTATTGTAATTTACTTGTTTATCCTTACATTTGCCTATATAAGGGTAACTATTCCATTGTATCATTTAGTTTTTGGAAATATATGAAATTGGTTTATCCATTTGAGATAAGTTTTGTGTTCTTGATTGTGCATTCTTTATCCAAGTCTTGGCAAAGGGATTTGGTGGTGAATCAATTCAAGTTGGTGGAGCAATTCCTTTATGCTTGAAGTACTTCTACTTGTCTTGGTCCGAATTTGCAAGTAAGTGTGAGTTTGTTCTTGTTTTGTGTTTAGTCGAATTTCAACTTGGATTTATGGCATGTTCTGTTGTTGAATTGGTTGGATTTAGATCATTTGGTATCAGAGCATAGGTTATGAAGTGGAGTAGAATTGTTTTAGGGTTGAATTTGTGTAGTTTGGCTGGAAATTGAGTTGGAGTTGCTGGATTTGGAAGTGTTTTTGGCTTGAATTGTTTTCCCTCTCATTTGAATTTCATTGAACCCTTTTTCTCTTTCCTCAAACACTATTACCCTAACCATCTCCTTTACATCTTGTTCCCTTTTAACCAATTCCATTGCCACCTCACCCATTCTTAAACAATGCCCTCTAAATTCAGCTAAACCCATTCATTCCCAACCAAACCAACTATAAACCTTAAACAAACCCTAAACACACTTAATTAGTCTACTCCCTACTAATCATAAATACTATTCACAGATTATTATTCACTTGAACCAAAATCACCAAAACTTATACGTTTGACCTTTCCTTCCCAAATTTCACTATTCCCATATTCAAAAAAGTTACTATTCATCCGAGGTTACTGTTCACATAACCGAAATTTACCTAAAACTCACCCAAATTTCATGGCAAACAAAACCTCAACCTTCTCACCTTCACCTTCACCTCCACCTCTATGGGAGTTTGCTAACCTAAAGTTACAAGGGGAAATTGATGAAGTTAAGCAACAAATGACTACCATGATGGCTACGATGGTTAACATGTCTAAGGACATAGCCAATTTATCCCAACCCAAACCCGTCTATGTAGAAGCCCCACACCAACCCCACCGAGAAGGATGACCATACTACTACCAAAAGACCACCATGGGAACACCATTACAAATGGAAGAGATAGAAGATAGTAGTGCTTCCTCTAGTGAAACTGTGGCACCTAGAAGGAGAAGAAGACATTTTGAAGAAGATAGGGGTATCAAGATAGACTTACCCGAATTCAATGGAAGTCTTGACCCAAATGACTTCATTGATTGGTTGCATGAGATTGGATAGGCATTTGAGTTTAAGAACTACAATGATGAGAAGAGGTGTAAAGTAGCCATATCGAAGTTTAAGGAGTATGCCTCCTTGTGGTGGGAAAATACAAAGAAAAAGGGAGAAAGGGAAGGGAAGACTCGGATTAGGTCATGGGAGAAATTGAAGAGGGTGTTAAAGAAAAGGTTCTTGCCCGACAATCACAAGCAAGACCTTTATCTTAAACTCCATAATTTGAAGCAATGAGATAGAAAATTTGAAGAGTATATTCAAGAGTCTGAAGGGTTGATGTTGAGAAATGATATTCTTGAAGAGAATGAGCATACAATTGCAAGGTTCATTGGCTGATTGAGTAAGGACATTGCATACAAGATTGAGTTGCAAACTTACCATTCTTTTGAGGATGTTTGCAAGTTGTCCACAAAGATTGAGAAGCAATTGAAGAGTATGAAGTCCTTGGCCCCTAATAAGCTCTTTAAAGAGAATAACTACCAAAGTGGTTGACCATCCTACACCAAACCATATGTGGCACCTACAGCTTATGATAAGAACAAAGCCAATGAAGCACAAAAGGAGAAAACAAGTTTTGTGATGAATGATACTCCACGACTAGATTTGAAGAACAATAAGTGTTTAAAGTGTCAAGGTTACGGACACTTCCAAGCCAATTGTCCAAACCGAAGGGTTATGACCCTTAGAGAGATTAATGAGATTGATGAAACATGTCAAAGGGATTCTAGTGAAGAAGAGGAAGTAGATGAGAGTGAGAATGAGGTTATTGAGTAAGTCAATAGTGGAAAGATGCTTATGCTTAAGAGGTTGCTGCATACTCAAGTAAACCCTTAAGAGAACCAAAGGGGGAACTTGTTTCATACAAGATGCACCATCAAGGGGAAAATTTGCTTAATGATCATAGATAGTGGGAGTTATACCAATGTTGTCTCCACCACATTTATGGAGAAACTAGGGCTGCAGATTGTAAATCATTATCATCCATACAAGCTACAATGGTTGAGCAATAAAGACACCATCTAAGTAGTCAAGCAAGTAGTGATGTCATTCTCCATTGGCAAAAACTATTCGGATGAACTGCTTTGTGACATCACCCCCATGGATACTTGTAATCTTTTACTTAGGAGACCATGACAATATAACCGAGAGGTGATCCATGATGGCTGTAGGAACACTTACTCATTCAAGCTCAATAAGAAAACTATTACCCTTGCACCATTAGCCCCCACCTAAGTCGTTGTCCAAACCCCCACACAAACAACCTCCCAAACATTTTCCCAAACACCGTCCAAGGAACCAACCCAAAAGACCATTTTCCTAAATTGCACCCAATTAGAAAAAAGTCTTCCAAAAACACAAGCCTCTCATTGCACTCCTTATAGCCAAAACAAACCAAGAGAAGAAACAACCTGAATTTCACCCAAAAGTTCATCATCTCTTGGAAGAATTTGCAGATGTTTTTCCTCAAAAGTTACCAAGGGGTTTTCCACCACTTAGGAGATAGAACACCACATTGATTTGGATCCTAATGCCCCTCTTCCCAATAGGCCATCATATCGGTGTAATCCTGAAGAGTCAAAAGAACTACAAAGGCAAGTTGAAGAGTTGATTTCCAGGGGATTTGTGAGAGAGAGCATAAGTCCTTGTTCAGTTCTAGCCTTGCTTGTGCCCAAGAAGGATGGTACTTACCGAATGTATATTGACAGTCGGGCCATCAACCGAATAACTATCAAATATCGGTATCTCATACCCCGATTGGATGACATGTTAGATGAGCTTCATAGTGCAACCATCTTCTCAAAGATTGATCTAAGAAATGGCTACCATTAGATTAGAATGAGAGAAGGAGATGAGTGGAAAACGCATTCAAGACCAAGGGAGGATTGCATAAATGGATGGTGATGCCCTTCAGCCTTTCCAATGCACTAAGCACCTTCATGAGGTTAATGAATGAGGTACTCAAACCTTTTATTGGAAAATTTGTGGTTATGTATTTTGATGACATATTAATATATAGTACATGTGAGGATAGCCATGTAGAACACCTTAGCTTAGTGCATGAATTGTTGAGGTAGAAAAAGTTGTATGATAAGCTTGAAAAATGTGAATTATTTATGAAGCAATTGGTGTTCTTAGGTTATGTGGTTTCGGGAGAAGGCATTAAGGTAGATCAATCCAAGGTAGAATCCATTCATAGTTGGCCTAAACCTAGTTCAATTACGGAAGTTAGGAGTTTTCATGGTTTAGCCTCTTTCTACCGAAGATTTGTACCTAATTTTAGTTCCATCACGCTTCCATAACTGAATGTTTGAAAAATGGATCTTTTGAGTGGACTAAGGCAGCAAATGAGGCTTTTAACTTGATTAAGAAGAAGTTGTGTGAAGCTTTCATCCTTGCCTTGCCGGATTTCAACCAAGTGTCTGAAGTAGAGTGTGATGA